CAGGCAGGCAGGAGTAGATAAATATTAATTTTCTAAATTTTTTAGGGGCCCTGCTGACCATATAGAATGGCAGGTCAGATCCAGCCTGCAGGCTGTATTTTTCCCACCCCTGCTTTAGAACTAGGAGAGGAAACTGACCACCATTTACTTGCAATGTTCAAGTTGAATCAGAAGCAGCATAACTGGGGAAGAATAAATTAAATCTTTTAAATTCTGTCACTTCAGAATCAGACACCCATAATTATGAAGAATGTAGGTAAGACTTAAAAAATGATCATGATGCTTTAAGTGTGTTTTCTCAGAACGCTACTCCTGCCTAGACTATAAATAAATTTTATATACAGAACATCAAACTTACTATTTATATTCATGCTCATGTTTTGAGTTAAAAAACTAGGCATATACTCCAGTGATTCATAACAGATTTTATTCTTTCCAAATGTTGGCAATTGGCAGTAATGTGGTTCTTCTGTAATATGTAACTTGGTTAAAAGCAATTGTGGGTTTTTATATTTATAGTTTAAGTGGCTTCAGCTCTTAAATTGCTGAGTTTACAGGTAAAGAGTGGTTGGTTTATCAATTGGTTGTTTGAGGTAGTAGCTCTACAGACTAACCCTGGGATGTTAAGTCTTTCTATTTCAGGCTGCATCCCCTGAAATGGAGACTCCACAGATCATATTTTTTTTTTTTTTAGGACACCTACCCCACTTCTCAGTCTTCCAGCTGTTTTCTTGATCCACTTGCAAGAAGTCACTGTAGTATAGTTGCATAGGGCTCTGGCAGATGTTACATTTATGACCTGATGAAGATGTTAATCACACCATGTATTGCAACATGCCATATATTCAGTGAATTTATGGTGCCATAAATGGCAAAATAAACACAAAGATGTTCCATATAATAAAATATAGAACATATTTTGGGTTGGTGTGTATTAGGGCTGTGCAAGGCTTAGGATGAAGCCTGCCAAGTTTTAAGAAGATCAGTACAGCAGTTTGGGGGGGAACAGCACCCCAAATTCTTGAAAGCAAAACTCCTGTCACGTCTATGTGTTACAACACAGGGGGGGTCAAAACTGCAGGGCTGGTAGCTCTTACTGAGGCCACAAAGCCTGCCCAGTTTCAAGAAGATTGGTGCAGGGATTTGGGGGGGAACTTCCCCAAATCCCCAAAGCTGCGGACAAGCAAAACTCATGCCATGGGTGCTGTGGGACTGACTGTGTCTGTCTTGGGGTGGGGAGGGGAGACACTGCTGCAGGCCTGGCTCCTAAACTGCTGTGTTCCCAGTTACCAATCAATCAATCATGATTCACTCAAGGACCAGGGACTCAGGGACCAGCTCAATACACAGGACCTAGCTACTACATAACGACTTAACGAGCATCAATTAACACCTACAAAACCAGGCTAAGGAGAGGAAAGAATCAATACAGACAATCAACTGCCCCAAGACAGACAGTCTTGGCACAAGTTTTGTTTGTCAGCAGCTAGGGGTGCAGGGCCCCAGAACCCACCCCCCCCACACCAATCTCCACAGCTGGCAGGCATCACAGCAGGGGCCACCACCCCTGCAGTTGTCACCCTGCTGCGCCTTAACACACGCAGTGTCAC